GATGATATTAACTGCACGTCCACTGGGAGACCTGTAAAATCCACCCAGCTAACTTCCACTCCTACTAGAATCTCTGTTGCTGCAGCCGCTGTGTTGCAGAGGCTCCAAACAGTTTCTCTCTTCCTGCCTTTTCCCTACTCACCTCCTTTCACTTCAGTTTCCCCAAGTTATCAGAACACCCTGAGTGAGAACTGCAGTCATTCAAGTTACAAAACAGACACCACTTAGGGAAAAATAACGTCAATGATTAGTAAGCTGAGAAAATTGCTAAAGTTGGGGTACGTGCTTTGCCAAGACAGTTAACAGGACATCCTACAGCGTCATGTGGACTCACAGATGAATTTCAGGAAACGTCACCAGCTGTTGTCCCAGCAGAGTGAGCCACGGGGCTGGGCTTCAAGAGATCCAGCTACACTTTCTAGACCCAGAATTATATTTATTGAGGAAACCCTTCTTTTATTAAATATGGCCTCGCTATTTTTGCCTGCCTAATCTGTTTTTCAAAGCTACGTTGCCAAAACTTTACCTACAAGAAGCATTATCCGGCAGCAGCGATCACTAATTATTATGCACCATTTCTTAGTGCCGTCACGAGAGCGGGCTGCCACTGGACTTGAATGTTCTCACACTGCTCCGTTGTGACAAGCATTAGGCACAAGGTTCAGTGCTGCTATTTTTATGGCTGCCAAGCTCTACTTCCTTCTGAAAACTCTCTGATTCAACGGACTAAACTACTACATCCCAACACACAGGTCAGGGACGTAGCACTATTTTATGAGAGCTAGTTGGTAGTTGCATTCATTTCCCCGTTCTTGTAATACACTCTTTTGCCACTGAAAGTATGACTAATAAATTTTAATCCATATTATTTGTCCACAAATTGCAAAGGCAGACCTGACACACACACAGAGCTCTGCTCTCGTTTCTCCATCTTTATTCAATTTCCCTCACCTCTTTTTTTTTTTTTTTTGCTTCTTTTGGCTATTTCAGTATTGGATCCCAGGCAGTTTTCTATTCTCAGAGTAAATCGCTGACTAGTTCTCTAGTCGCTCTGATAGCGGGATACATATGACCTGTTCCAATTTATAGTTCACAAGGGTATTACCACATTGCGTGTTCAGCAGCAAAACCGATGCAATGACTGAACATTCCCACATTCAGGAGCAATCAGTGGATTAACATAATTTTTAATAGCTACACATAACACATTTGAGGTTGTTTTGAGAGCAAAAGCCAGGGAAAAAACAAATCCATTCACTGCTGGCAAAATTACTGAATATTGAACTTCAGCGACTACAGCCCATGGTCAATGCCTCTTCTAAGACTAACAGCCATTGATTTTACTTCTCAATTTTAGGCCTGTGATCACAAACCAGCTGCCCTTCAAAAGTCCTAGCCCTCTTCTATGCTCTGACAAGCGGAGCCAAAAAATAGACAGGCCAGCACATGGTCTGTGCTCAGGTCAGAGGACACATCACGCCCGCAAATTAGAACTTGAACAAGAGACAGGAAGAGAAACAGCCATGAAAGCTGATGAAGTGAGACATAGGGAAGGCAAGTCCCAGGACTTCAGTTACTTACAGCATCTGTAATTATTCCCCTGTAATAGACTCCTGAAACACACTCACGTGAAAGCCCACTTCCCACTTTGCTCTGCCTTTGTGGTTCTGCCGTGTTACAACTCAGCCTAGTTCGGTCACCAGTCTGCTGCAAAGGAATTCCAGTCACCACAGGTGACGGGCTAACAAGGTCTTGATAAAAAAGTCTTCCCACTACTTCTAGACCTGAGACTAAAGGACACGTTGCTCAACTCTGGCCTCCTGTTATAACCCCCTTCTCTGGAAAGCTGGACATCCTTTGACCCCCAAAACCACTGCTCCTTGGCCTCCCCTCCCACCACGCACAGACGCGTCCCGGGGCTCCATCTTAGCTGTGAGCTGCCCGAGCCTCTCTGGGGAACACGTGGTAGCAAAATCAGGACGGCAGGCTCCGCAGTAGAGATCAGCCACTAGCCATTCTCATCTCAGAAAACTGCAGTTTTGATATTCACACTGCTGATCTGCCTTCCTCCGTGCTGCAGGCTGGATGGAGTCCCTCCTTTAGGTCCTCCTCATGCAGCAGTGGTTGCCTGCCTTCTCCCCAGGATAAAACAGGGCTGCACGGGGCATGCTTAAGCAATCCCTATTTACCCTGGAGCACGGGGGGTTGGATTCATCTCACCTGAGCTGCCTAGATTACAAGTCCCAGCTTCTCTATACAGACACTGGTAAGAAACAAGCACCAGAAGGCAATTCAGCTCCTCAGAATGCAGATGGGATCAGTCTGGGCTATGGGAGAGAAGATGAAATTTGGGAATTTTTCAGAACTGGGAGGCTATTCAGTAGACAACAATTCACATGGCAAAGCCGTCCAAAAGCCAGGGACCCAAAATTGTGCTAACCTTGGCAAAAGATGGTCCACAAGCTCTAGCCGACTGTCATGTTGGAATCAGAGGGGATGCTGGGATCAGAAACCTGAAATCAGAGGGGCTTACATCAGCAGTCTGGCCAAGACCCCTCCAAAAACCAGATACTGGAGTCACATTGCTTCTGCAGAAAATGTTAATTTTACCAAATTGGTAACTTCTGATCTCATCATTAGCTCTGGTTATGCTATTTATGAATAAAGTGGAAGAAAAAACGGTGGTGGCTCCCCATCCCTTTACATTTCCCCACAGAAGAGTATTTATTACACTGCTTGTCTGGATATGCGTTAAATTAGCCAGTAATGAACTGATCCTCTAGCTAAATTTACTTTCTATTAAGCAATTCATTTAAAAATCAGGAGACCCTTTACACAGCTGAAGTGGCCTTTATCAGCAGGCACCAATTCAGCATTTTTCCTGTAAAGAAAGAGCTCATTATCCACATGCTCCTCTGGGATCTCTAAACAGAACGCAGCAGTCCCAGAGTCCATTCCCAAGCTAAAGTTTTAGGGAGGCTCACTTTGAATTTATGAAATAGGAATTTACTTTCTAGTAGGAGGAAGAACTTCTGACACCGGCTTTGGTGAGAACACGTAACTAAGAGAGAGTGCACAGGTACGTGCTATTTCAGGTAGCTCTGCGAGTCTCCTCTCACGAGTTTATTTGGCTGCTGACTCGGTCTGTCATCATGCAGTGACTTTCATAACTTTGTGATGCAATTATTAATACATTACCACTACTACCTACTGCTCGGCCAATATTCCTTTATGATCACAGCTTTTGGCAAAAGGGGACAAAGGTGATATTAATTGCTATACAGCGCTACGTCTTACAGCAAATTCATTACAAAGGGTGAAGTATTATTTACCTTTCTCTACACCCAAATTTTCTACTTACGGGTTTTCAGGTATTTAAAATGGAGTTAATAGCATTACTTTTAAACAATACTATACTCTACTTCCTTTGACTACGCTGCTACACTGTGAACTAAACACTTGGCTGCCTATCATGGGCACATGGAATGAGCTCAAGATGAGGTTGAGTGACAAACACATACTAGCACACCGCAAACTTTGTGCTGAAAGCATCAACTAATAAAACCAGATGTGATTCTTACTTCTCATTACCTGTAAAGACAGACTGAATCGCTACACAAAAAAATGTTACAACATCCTGAACAGAAAACTCAAAGCAGGCGATTATGAAACCTCTCAGATTCGGAGAAGGCAAGACTGAACATGCCAAGATATGAAGGCACCTCAAAAAGACTGAGGTAAGATCAGATTTATGATCAAAACAGCTAAAGTAAGAGAGTTTCTCAATTCTGACGGTTAAAAATATTTGGGGGAGGAAACAAAGATCACTGCTCTGTATAGCCCAGGTAAGGCTACCTCTGGAGCACAGAAAAACAAAGCGTAACATTGAGTAACTTTATACTGCACACATTCACGTGGATCTTAGATGGTAAGTTTCTGTTCGTACAATTATGACCAGTGATGAGGCTTCCTATTTTTGAGGCTCTGGAACTACTACCTTGCCTTCCCCTCAAAGCACTGTCACAAAACCCTTCCAAAAAAAAAAAACCAAACAACAAAACTCAAAAAACCCAATCACTTTCCCTGCCTGTAGGTACACGCAGTCTACATCAAACAGCTCAAATGTCTTTGCTAAAACTTGTTTCTCACTGCTGTTGAGAAGTATACAAATAACCATTTCGGTCCTTTTAGAATCATAGAATAGTTTGGGTTGGAAGGGTCCTCTAAAGGTCATTAGTCCACCCCCCCTGCCGTGGGCAGGGACATCTTCAACTGGATCAGGTTGCTCAGAGCCCCGTCCAGCCTGACCTGGAATGTTTCCAGGGATGGGGCATCCACCACCTCTCTGGGCAACCTGGGCCAGTGCTTCACCACCCTCAGCATAAAAAATGTCTTCCTTATATCTAGTCTAAATCTACCCCCCTTTAGTTTAACGCCATTGCCCCTTGTCCTGTCGCAACAGGCCCTGCTAAAAAGTCTGCCGCCATCTTTTTTATAAGCCCCCTTTAAGTACTGACAGGCTGCAATAAGGTTTCCCCGAAGCCTTCTCTTCTCTAGGCTGAACAACCCCAACTCTCTCAGCCTTTCTTCACAGCAGAGGTGTTCCATCCCCCTGATCATTTTTGTGGCCCTCCTCTGGACCCGCTCCAACAGGTCCGTGTCTTTCTT